AACGCTCCTTGCGGAACAATCCCCACCACACCCAAGTGTCCAGCAGCCAGAATTATAGGCCAAGGTCAGAGACTATCAGATACACCTCCTCCTTAAACACTAATTTTTCTGTCAGCAAGCGAGGAGATCACCTGGATGTAAGCCTCTGTCTTCCTCACAGGACACTTCAGTTGTGTATAAGGATGGGAAGATTTTTCTGGGTTTTACATGCAATGCTGTTTTCCAAAGTAAATGTCACTCACAATAGACCTCTCTGTGGGTCAGGGCCTGTAATCCCAGTTACGCAAAAAGCTGAGGTAGGAGGATCTCAAGTTCAAAACCAACGTGGAGAACTTAATAAGACTTGTCTGAAAACAGAAAGCAAGGGCTGGGGATGTAGATCCATGGTAGGACCCCTGTCTACTATGTAGGAAGCCCTGAGTTCAGTCCCCAGTATTACAATGCAGTGGGGGACTCATACTCATCACCTATCACTAGTGGCCCCCCTTTCCCAGCTATATGAGTGAGCTCAGGCTGCTGCTATAATAAAATGCCACAAACTGGGTGGCCTAAACATGAGACGCTTATTTCCTCATAGCTCTGCAGTGTGGAAAGTCCCAGACCAGTGCCTGGCAGAGCTCGCTTTGGGCAGTGGACCTCTTCCTGGCTTCTCCCTGGTGGCTGCCTTTTGACTGTGTCCTCTCGTGGCAGGTGGTGGGGAAGAGGACACTGCTCAGCAAGCTTTTAAGGACACTAACCCTATGGGCTCAGGGCTCTATCTTAATGACCTTATTTATCCTGAACTACCGCATTAGGGGCCCTGTTTCCAAATACAGTCACACTGGAGCTTCGGGCTTTAGCATGCGAAAGGGGGTGGGGATGACACTGTTCGGTCTGTAGTGGCAGCACCAGGCAACTACTAATTTACTTTCTGCCTACAGATTTTACTCTTCTGGACATTTCCTATAAATAGAATCACATTATACATGGCCATTTGTATCTGGTTCCCTTCACTTGCAATGTTTGTTTTCAAGGTTCCTTAATCTCCTTTTAATGGCTGAGTAATATTCATTTGTATGAATCTGCCATATTTTGTTTATCCGCTCACCAGTTCATGGACATTTGATTTGTTTATACCTTGGGCCATTATGAGTAATGTTTCTAGGAGCATCCATGTAACAAAGTTTTGGATGAACATATGCTTTTAATTATTTTTCACCCGCAAGAGCAATGTCCAGGTCATGCAGGAACTCTGTGTTGAGCTTTTTCAGAACCTGATGGACTCTTATTCAAAGAGCCCATATTGTTTTACATCCCAGCAGAGTACAAAAGCCCCAACTGCTCCACATCTTGCCAACCTTGGCATTATCTGCGCTTCTTACAATGGTTGTCCTAGGGGCTGGGAGGCTGTCTCTTACTCTATGTTCAATTTGCATCTCATGGTTAGCAATATTGAGTATCTTTTCCTGTGCTTCCTGGACATTCTTCTATGTTCTTTGGAGATATATCTGTTCCCTTTGGCCATTTTAAAATGGGGTTATTTGCCTTATTGAGTCCTCAGTGATATTTACATATTCTGGATACTAGGCTATTATCAGATATATGACTTACAAACACTGCGCTCTCTTCCACTCTGTCCCTTCACTGGTGTCCTTAGGAGCACAAGTGTTTTTAGTTATGATGGAGTCCAATGCATCTATTTTTTCTTTTGTTGCTTATTGTTTTTGTGTTATATCTAAGAAACCATTTCATAATCTAGAGTCCCTGTGATTTATGTATGTGCTTTCTTCTAAGAATTTTATACTTGTAGCTGTTATGTTTAGATCTTTGATCCATTTTGAGTTAAAATTTATATACTTGTGAGATCACATGCTGCTTTTGAAAACAAGTTACAAAGCAAAAAGGAATTTTAAAAAAAGGCAAATACTTTGATTTTAATTGAGAATGGCATGATATTTCGTGAATATACCACTTAATGGAAAGAAAATAACCTCTGGCTTCTAATGTGTCTGATATGCTCAATATTTATTTTTTTAAGTTACTAAACTGAAAATTATTTAAAAAAAAAAAACTTTTCAAGCTGGGCATGGTGATGCACGCTTGTAATCCAAGCACTCAGGAGGCTGAGGCAGGAGGACCACTGCGAGTCTGAGACCAACCTGGGTTACAATGCAAGCTCAAGGCCAGCCTGAACTGCATAGCGAGACCCCTGTCTCAAAAAACAAAAAAAAAAATTTCAGGCCAGGGATGTATTTCAGTGGCACAGAGCCTGCCTGGCAAGCATAAGGTACTGAGTTCAATTACCAATAGCCAAAACAAAACAAAAAAAGACTTCTCATATTTTTGTATAATCAAAGATGAACTTCTTTCAACAAATTTCAAATAAAAGGTGTATCTTAACGTGTTTTATAAATAACATTTTTGACATACATTGGACAGTTTTTTATTTCCCTATTATAATTATATGGTTTTCATTCAGTGCATTAGTTCGCAGTCAGGGGTGGCTTTGTCCCTCAGAAGACATTTGGCAGCATTGGGAGACGTTTTTGGTTGCCACAACTGGGGAGATGGTGCTACTGGAATCTATGTGATAGGGACCAGAGGGGCTCTTAATGTCCCACAGTGCTCAGCAAAGCCACCTAAAGGGCACATCCAGGGCAAGATACCACTTGTGCTCAAGCTGAAAAATCCTGCTTTGTCTAAATCACTCATCCCTACCAGCTAGATTCCAGAAGCAATGGATTTCTTTCATCACACTACTGAGCCTTTTGGGGGTCAGAATGTACCCCAGCCCCTTAGTGCCATCAAAATCCTCTATGGGGACAAAAATCTTAGGAATTCCCTTAAGGGGCCCCTTGAGAAAACAGAAGCATTTCCTTTGAGGACTAAATTCATTCTGTATTTGTGTGTTTGGATTTTTTTAAATTTTAAAATATATTTGGATAATGTACTCCCTATTACCTACGTATTTGGGCAGCCAGTCCCTTGCTTAAGTGTATTTTATCTGGTTAGGTAACAATGGTAGCGAGGAACCATCATTCTTGGGTGCTCACTGGAGCAGGCATGGGCTGACCACTTCCTGAGTTATTTAACTTAATTTCCTCAACAGCCCTAAGAGAAAGTGACTATCCTTATCCCATTTACTGTCACGGGACCTACTGCACCATAAGATTAGGGGACTTGTCCAAGATCATATATTGGTATCATTATTACTCCATGCCGGGACTTAGGCTACTGTGGGACCAACTGGGACAAGCAGGTGTGTCACAAAGAGGCTGGAACAATCATTGTGGGCACTGTAATCACAGCCAGGCATCTGCAGAACAGTGAGGTATGCTTTCATTTATTCATGCCATACCAAGTGCTCTACTATGGGGGAGAAGGAAGAACACACACAGCCAGCCCTATCTCTCTTTGCGAACAGAGGCATGGCTCATGCAGGAGCATCCCCGTCTGGTCCACCTGTCATGGTGGACAGCATCTGAGAACACTGGCTGAATGAAAATTGGGATTGTGAGGCTTCATTCGCACTCCTTGTACTCACCCCCAGATCAGTCAAAGCTTGAGTTCCTACCTCCTGATTGTCTTCTCATCAAATGCTCCAGTTCTCAAATGTCTCTCCTGACTGGGGCCCTAAGTGCACTTGCACATATTCCAGCACCAGACCTCAAGCCCCTTACCATGACCTTGTATTTTGTGGGCTCCAGCCACCAACAGCCCTCCCCAAAGTGGGTCATGCCCCCTCCTTCCCATCTGCAGCCACTGCCGTTCCTTGAACAGCAGTGTGGAGTTAGGCAGTAGGAAAACAGCTCCTAAGAATCACACATGCACTGACTGGTCCTGTCTCCACTCAGGCTTCATGCCTCGGGGTGCCAAGCACACAGCCATCTCCATATTCCTCTCTTCCTTCTCCAAGGGGGCTGGAGAAAAGGATTTGGGGAGAGTGGGAATGATGGGAGATAAGCAATTTGGTGCTATCAAGATTTTAGCCAGAATGACTTTCCTAATTAGCCACTTTGAGGATACAAGAAGAAGCTGTGTGCCAGCCTTGTGGGACACTCCTCTAGCTCTCCAAGTGCCTGGTGACAGAAGGAGCACAAAGAGTAGAGATGAAGATGCCCTCGAGGGACCCTGGGTTTTGTCTCTGAAATTCCTCGGGCAAGTCTTTCCTTGCTCTGAGCCTCAGTTTCCCTGGGAAGGGAAGACACACACATTAGATGATTTCTAAACATCCTCATAGCTTTAACTCTTGGAGGTCCTGGGAACTGAGTTACAGTGAAGTTCATTGGGTGACTGAAGTCCACCCTAATGTGGAAGGTGCTTGAGGAGTAAGTCCACACCTAGTAGCCTGCCCACGTTTAGGGAAGAGATCACAACAATTGGTGGGTGCTACCTTTCTTGAGAGACCCATCTCCAGGACCAATGTTCAAACTATTTAGCAGCCAGAGTGTCCTGAAAACAGACCCATCACAGGCTAGAAGGCAGCCATAGGGGCTGCTGGAGAGTGCCTCGTTCACCTAGTGGCTGTGGCAGGCCTTTGTCCTGACTTGGGGCAGGGAGGGTTCTGCCTCTTTATGTGTGGCTTTCCATCCAAGGCCCTACCTCAGTTCCCTTTAGCTTCTTTCTCCACCTCTTGATACACAACTGCTATAAATATCTTTGTGCTTCTGAACACCAGCTTAATCCCATCTACCTCTCAACAGTCATTCTGAGTGCCCTGCGTGCTCTGCCTCCGCCAGCCGCCCTTGATCCCCTTGCCTTTCAAGCATTAGAGGCGAGAACACCTGCTCCTCGTCTGCTCTGTGACCTTGGGGCAGCCCCTGTCCCTTTTGGGCTTTCCAATTCTTTGCATGTAAAAGGAGGGACTTGGATGGATTCCATAGCTCTGAGGTCCCTGCTAGTGGTGAATGATGAGTTTCTAAATTGCAAGTCTTCCTCGGCTGACCACTCTCTCTTTCTCTTTCTCTCTCTTTCTCTTTCTCTCCTCTTCTTTCTCCTGCCCCCAACAACGTCCATCGTAGAATGCACTGCTGCCTGCAGGCCTGAGGCAGAAGGATCAGACCACCAAGGCGCCCACAGGCCCCTTTAAAAGGGAGGAGCTCTTGGATCACTTGGAAAAGCAAGCAAAGGAGTTTAAGGACCGAGAAGACCTGGTTCCCTACACAGGGGAGAAACGAGGTACTCAATGATGTTGCTCTTGTGAACGTGTCATTCTCCAGGCATGGCTAAGGGCCACCTGTGTGCCAGACCCTGAGTTGGGCCACGTGTATGGGGGGCACTCCTTGTCTTCATCCCTGTCTGGCCAGGAAACACAATCCCAACTCCAAAAGTAGTGATGCCTGTTGTAGTTTAATAGTGGGACTAGACTAAAGAAAACTTCACCTAGAACAGTAAAACTTTTCCTTGAATCTCCTTTGATTCAGATGTCCTGATTATTTTTCATTCGAATCTATACACTTCTGAGAATGGAAGAAGGATCTGTTGATAGTGATATCAGGACCTGAGGGGCATCACCCTAATCTCTCTCTTCTCTCTCTCTCTCTCTCTCTCTCTCTCTCTCTCTCTCTCTCTCTCTGCTCTTTCTCCAAAGTTCCTTTCTGACAGCTACAACATCCCTGCCAGACTCTCTGCTCCAGCTTAAGAGAAGCCACCCAGCAATGCCCAGGGGAACAGGGAGATAACCTTGACTGTTCACCCTTCCAGGCCTTCCATGCCCTCCAGACCACTGTGCCCTTCTCTGGTGTCATTCTTGCCCACAGGCATGAGGGCAGCGAGTAGGAGAAGACACAAGTTTGAGTTCTGTTCTAGACCCCCGCGTCTAGAACACTGGCCTGCTGCCAGCTCCATGGTGTCTTTGTGGCTGTCTCTTCCTCTGCTTAAGCAGTATCATGAAGACACAACCTGGGGAAAAAAAAAAAAAAAAAGACACAACCTGGAGTTAGGCCTGCTTTGACTGTAGTTCCAGTTCCATGACTTACTAACTGTGTGAGCTCAAGCAAATCACCTCCTTTTCCTCCTCCATAAAATGAGGGTGTTGGAAATAATATCGCCAACCTCCGCAGGTTGCTATGAGAATTAAGTGCACAAGATAGATAGATAGATAGATAGATAGATAGATAGATAGATAGATAGATCAATCTTAGCAGCGCATCTAGCATTTAGTGAACACTATGTCAGCATTGGCTGTTATTCTTTAGGTCTCAGCTGTGCTGTCTTCTCTCTCAGGGGCACCTCCCTATCCACTGCTAGCACTCGCAGTGCCCCTGCAGCTCTATTGGAGTTATTTTCCACCCCAGGATCCTGTGTGTGTCCTCCATGTCCATATTTCATTTGTATCTCTTTTTGTATTAGCTTCCTTTCTCACTAGTTCATTGCTTCCTTAGGACAGGGACTTGGACTGATTATGTTCACGTGGAACCCTGAGCACCTAGGCAGCACAGGCCCTGGCATGCAGTAGGGTCAAGCAGACAGTTGTTGATAAATGCCTTAGATAAAGTAAGTAAATGTGCAAGGCACCTGTGGGTTACTCCTTGGAACACAAGCTCCAGGACTGTCAGAACTGTGTGCCTTGTTTTAACATTATATCTGCCTGCCTAATACCCCCTCACACGTAAAAGGCATCTAATGTTGAGTGAAATTAACATATTGAGTGAAAGTATTCGCTTTCATTGATTAGTGTTGTAATTACTTGTCTCTTTTCATCCATCTCCCCACCCCAATGATGCAAGCGGGGCAAGCCGTGTTCTGCATCTGCGTCTGTCACCTCCATCCATGTGGCATTAGTGCAGTACCCTGCACCAAGTAGCTAGTGAATAAATCATAAAATAAAAAGACAGCAGCTCCCGAGCCCCCGCCCACCTAGTGAGAGCTTCTGCCATGTTCCCGGGACCCCCAGATCCAGCCCTAGCCCAGGCCCGGTGAATGTGTGGGAGAGCTTCCTGCTACCCTGCGCTAGTGAGACCTGTCTGGTCCAAGCCCAGGCACAGCGTGGGTGAGACCCTCTTCCACCCCCTTGAAACCCCGCCACTACTCTGCAGTCCCACCCTCTCCCACCCAGTGAGTGAGAACTTCTGCCGCTTTCTCAGGACCCCCAGATCCAGCCCTAGCCCAGGCCCAGTGAGTGTGTGGGAGAGCTTCTTCTCCCCACTATTCCACCTTGTCCCCTTCAGACTCAGCTCAGGCCTGGCATACAGGCCTCAGGTGAAACTCTGCAGCTGCAATCCCTGCAGAGAGTGTAGGGGACAGAACCACCCAGCTAGTCCAGGAGCAGAACATCTTGCCAGAGGGGCACAACAGGATCACTCCCAAGGGTGGCAGCAGGAAGGAGCTGAGCACAGCAGCCAGACCCAACAGGTACAACTGGATAGATTCAAACTTTGTAGATGTGCACCTGAACTTCAGTAGGTGCTAAGGTTATAACTGCACCAAAGCTCCACAACAAAGATCAGAAGGCAGTGCTGCACAAAATGACAATGAGAAGGAGCAAAATGCAATCTCAGACCCAAGCCCACCCATAACAAGTGCAGAGGACACTAGCACAGAACAAATTGGGAATCACACAGCTGAAATCAATGCATTAAGAGCTTCTGAAATAAAGAAACAGCTGCAGAAAGGTATAGAGGAACTCAGGTTGGAAATGAAAAAAAGAAATCCCTGAATTAATAGCATCTGCAGTAAAGAATCAAATGCAGAAACATATAGAGAAAACCAAATGCCCACCCAGAACAAGCGCAGAGGACACTAGCTCAGCTGAAATGTATGAGTTAATAGCGTCAAAAATAAATAAGCAACAGCAGAAAGTTATAGAGGAACTCAGAGTGGAATTATTTTCTGAAATAAAAAAGCAATTCTCTGAACTCATAGCATCTGAAGTAAAGAATCAAATACAGAAACATAGGGAGGAAACCCAATCTGAAAAAAACTCTGCAGTAAAAGAATTAATAACTGCTTCTAAAGAAGACATTGATAAAAAACATAGAGGAGATTAGAAAAATGAAGGCTTCCTTGAATGAGCAATACAGGAAAGAAATAGATGGCGTGAAACAGAGTCAAAGAGATATAGAGGAACTTAAAATCTCAATCACAAGCTTGCAAAACCATTTGAGTGAAAGCGAAGACAGAGTTTCAGATCTTGAAGATGCTGGTGCAGCTAGTAAAAAGATATTTTACTAAAAATAAAATTCATTTAATTAATTCAATAAAATTAATATGCAATCCTCAAAAAATAAATAAAAAGACACATAAAGGGGACATGGTGGAAAAGGCTTTGAGCCATCTCATGTCCTGGAATTGGAGCTTATCCAGGTTTTATGGAAGACTGAAGGGTCGTTGTTTTGTATGTGAACTATCAGGCTGTGCTAATAGCTATTGGACAGATAACTCTTTGCCATCCAGTGAACTTGGCACAGTCGTTGAAATCAATATGCCATTAATGTTTCGCTTTGCTACTGGGCTTCCAATCCTCTCCCATTGTCCACCTGTCTGTTTTTATGCCAGTACCACACCACTTAGTTAAGTTTTTAACTCAGTAAATGAGTCTTCTGATTTTTTTTTTTTTTTGAGTCTTCTAATTTGGTTCAAGTTTTTCTTTTTGTCTATTTGTGACTTCTTGCTATTGCAAATGTCAGTTGGGATTTAGAGAAGGATTACACTGAATTTGTAGACTGCTTTGGGTAGTATTGTCATCTTAATACTATTCTGCAATTCATAAAGGCAGAACAATTTTGCATTTATTTAGATCTTGTTTAATTTCTTTCAGCCAAGTCTCTTACTTTCCTTTGTACAGGTCTTTCCCATTTATTCTCAAATGTTTGATACTTTGGATACTATTGTAAATGCAATGTTTTCTTGATTTCTTTTTCAGATTGTTCATTGCTGGTGCACTGAGACATGGTTTATTTTTATATGTTAATCTTAAACCCTTCAAAATTGCTGCATTTATTAGTTGTAGCAGACTTTTCTACGCAGGAATTCAGTTTTGACCATATAAGAGCATGTCACTTGCAAACAGAAATAATTTTACTTCTTTTCCATCTATTCCTTTTTCTTGTTTCTTTGACAAGAACTCACAGTACAATGCTGAGCAGCAGCAGTAAATGTGGATGTCCTGTCTTGTCCCTGTTTGAGGGCCTGGTACATAAAAAGAACTCAATATATGTCTCTTCCTCTTCTTAAAAAGTCCCTAATGCATGGGTGGGGGCCCTACCCTAATAACTTTATTTAATCCCAATTACTTCCCAAAGTCTCTATCCCCTCAGACCATTAACACATGAATTTAGCCATTCAGTTTCTAACACTTAAGCCCTAGCGAATGATAGACAAACCACAGCACTTTTTCAGTTTCTCATAAACAGAATGAAATTGTTCATGAGGTTTTGTAGACTTACCTTTTCACGCCACATTGAAGCTGGGCATTTTCCTTCTTAAGAAGTGGCAACCTCCATTGTGCATAACAACTGCTGGAATCCTGTGAGGAGGGGGGCTCCACCGTAACTTCTTCAACAGCCCCTCCTGGTGGACACAGGATGACCGTCCTCATGACTGCCACTTTATTCCTTCATTTTGTTATGAGCCTGACACTTTAAAAATAGAACGTCCCACAAGGCAAGAAAATATTTTTGTTCTTTTTTTGTCTTTTAATAATCTGAGTATATTTTATTTATTTTATTTAGAAATGTTTACAAGTTTTTCTCCCATATTAGAACCCTTGGCTGAGGTATCCCAGACCCTGCCTGGCATTCTATTACATTTGCCCTTGTATTTTTTCCTACTTAGAGGTTGGCCATTGTTTTTGTAGATAGTAATATATTTAGGCCAAGTTGCAAAATCCTTCTTCATTTTAAGTGTGCTATGTTAGATCTTTAATTCCAATTCTGTGGGAAAGTTGGTCCCCAGAGGTACTGTCCACAGGTAGGACAGTCCACAGAATCTGAGGTCCATTGCCAGGGGTTCCCCATTGTAGTTACACACCCTGATAGACTCCATGTATTTACAGGAAAGATCTGGGTCCCTAAGCAGAAGCCAATGGATCCTGTGCTAGAAACGGTCACGCTAGAGCCAGAGCTGGAGGAGGCCTTGGCAAATGCCTCCGATGCAGAACTCTGTGACATTGCAGGTAAGAGGCATTCCCAAAGCTTCCCCTGTCTTCCAGAGGCTTGACCCACATATGTAGGGAAGCTTGTTTGGTTCATAGGATATGTATATCCTATTTCTAATAAGAGACCAACAGTGCTAAGGTTAAAATCCAATATGCAAAACCAAACTGAGGAAAATAGAGATAAAAGCATCCAAGCCCACCCTCCCCAGAGCCGCTTGTTGCCATAAGATTCCTCTCCCCAGAGTTTGATTTTAGGCCTGTGATGTAGAAATGCCACATGGGCCACCAAGGTGGAGATGGCTGTGCATGAAGGTCTGGAGTTCAGGACAGAGATCTGGGCATGATTAGTGTCACCAAGCTTGAAGAAGGCCACATGCTGGGATCTGGGCTCTGGAGGGCCAGTGCCGGCTAGGGTAGGAATCTTTTGTGGGAGGCAAGTAATGGAAAAGGGTCACATTGAGCACTGAGGCCAGATGGGCTTGAACCAAAGATCAAACTAAGATAGGTAGACCAAGAACTCAGGAGGCAGAGTGGGGGTTCCAGGCTAGTCAGGAGACTTGGAGGTACTGAAGCCAGAGTGCAGGCAGGCTGCAGCTGTGTGTACCTCACCACATCCGCTGACAGCTCAGCCTCTTGTGGAAGCCATGTGTGGCCCCTGTGGGGTTGGGGACAGGGAGAGGGTACTCATCTGTAGCAGGGCCATGAGAAGAGGGGCAGTGATTCAACTGTGTGCCAAGACTGGCCCTGCACAGTAGTAGACAAAGCAACTAGGAATCCAAGGAGTGACCGGGAAGAGCAAGTTTGTAGCCCACACCCAGACAACCCCTTCCTCAAGAGACCTGAGGTATGAGGAAAGATAAGGGCACAGCAGAAGGCTATCTTAAGAAAGGTTTCTGTTCCCCTGAGAAGCACAGAAACGGTGTCTACCTCACCCCTGTGGGCCTGAACACCAAACTCAGAAGGCCAGTTCACTTTACAGTCAAGCCTGTGCTTTGTCAGAAGCCACAAATCACATGAGAGCCTACATTCTGTTTGCTTCCACAAACCCACCCGTAGAGGAGGGTCCCCTTGGCTTCAGGTTAGTTTGTGCAGCAGGAAGACTGATGCCACTGTCCCTCATCTCCACATTGCTGTGGTGCTGTTTTTATCCTGCACTTTCTCCTGTGATCACCCTGCGTGACGTCACTCCCCTCATTAGACAGCTCTCAGGGATTATCAAATGACTGCTGTCAGAACCCTGGCTCCTGGCAGCCTCTGAGCCAAAACAGAACAGTGACACTGAGCTAACATTCTGCATCGCTTTCTTGAAATCCTTTCTCTTCATTTGTGTTGGCAAGCTGGTTGTTATTATCTGCCCATGAAACCATGCCTTGCTGATGTCTGGGAAGGAGTGGGGCGCTGAGTCTGTTCCAGTGTTAAAGGCTGTTCCTGCATGTCTGTTCTTTGATATCAGTCACTGAAAGGTGGCAGTGCCTCTGAGGAAGGAAGCAGGGAGCATTTTCTGGGCACTGGCCATGACCCAGGTGGCGCGTGAGTTGTCCTCAGTACCTGCTGCACTACATGACCTCAACAGTCCTATGGGGTAAATTCCATGATGGTTCCCATTTTACAAGAGATCGGCTGGGTCCCAGGGCTAGGTCATCTGTGTGGGGCCCAGATGGTGCTTGACCCTGTGGCCTTACGGGTTAGTATACAGAGCTGGTAGGCTGGAGGAGAGCAGCCCTGTGTGGGTTCACCTCGCTCACCCCACATGAGATGGTGACAACAGATGGACTGTTGCCAAAGGGGCTGTGGGTGGCAAGCCCACCAGAGAATGGTGATAGGGCTTTGGGGCCTTTCTCAAGGAGGGGCTGGCTGTGGCCATGAGTGTTAATAGCTAATCAGAGGAGGAAAAGCATTCAGAGAGGAGGACAGGGGTCTCCAGATCACCTGTAGGCTAGTTGTTCAGCTCCCAAGAAGGTGTTACCATCAACTTAGCCTTCACTGGTCTCTCACGTACATAGTCTGGGCTTTACCCAGGGCTTGCTATACAATCTGTGCCAGGCTCCGTACTAGGCGTGGTGAAAGAACCCTGAGAAAACAGCTTGCTTCCTGCCCTCAGATGGAGCCAATCTAAGCAAATGTGACATGACAAATGATAGGAAAAGAATGGGGTATAAGAGGACACTTGAGGAAGAGATGAGGGAGGTGAGGAAAGAGATATGGAAGTGGGACCTACGGGGGTGGAGGTGAGCCGGGTGAGCTAGAGAAAGCTCAGGGAGAAGGGCTCAGAGTGGGGGCAGTGCAGGCCAGTAGCTCTACTCCAGGCTGAGCAAGAGGCAGGTCCTTCCGAGCTGTAGGGCTGCTGTGTGTAGCAAGCTTGACGTGTGGTGACAGTAGAAACCAGGAGGACACTGGCAGATGTGCCACACTACACAGGTAAATGTAACACGTATGCACTCATTGATGTACTCATTGAGTGAGTGTACATTATGAACTCCTCCTGTACACCAGGGTAACTCAGATCCCGTCTCTGTTCTTGGGGGTCTAGGAGGTGGTAAGAAGGACACACCAGAAATACGTAAGATTTCAGTATTAAAATACCCACCCCCCAAGGTGCTGAGCGGAGTTCATGGGAACCTGACAGTCGTGGCATGTGGCTATGAACTCTGTGGCCCTGGGTTGTAGCTCAGGGGCCACTGAGAATCCACTGAAAGCACTTGGAATTTTCAGGGCTCCCTGCTTTTTTAGGTTGGAATCCTAAAAAAAAGGACCTCTCCAGTGAGGCAGGGCCAATAAGGAAGTGAGGTGGGCAAACTCATCCTTCAGAGAAACACCCCCAGGCCACCCACCCCCTAGGGCAGTTGATTAGCACCAGCTCTTTTGACTCTCAGCAGTCTTAGCCAGACAGATAAATCCTAAGTCCTGGTTACTTTCATGCCTTTGATACCTGTCCTCCCCTTCTATGACTGTTAGGGTGCAGCTTATCCAGGAACAGCTCCACAGCACCCAAGGCCTGGGTTGCAAACAGTTTCTTCCACCTGCCCCAGCATGCAGGAACACACCTTGCAGCCACCTGCCCAGCGCCAACCCAAGCTGTCAGCAGCTGGAGAAGCTGGGGATGTGTTCTGTTATCGCCTTGTGTCCTGAGTGGAATTACAAATGCAGTGATCTCTGCCAAGGCAGAGAAAGGAAGCAGAACTCAATGTTCTTTTTCAGAGTTCAAAAATAGTCCTTTTTGAGTTTTGAGGAAGATCTAGACTTTAAAAAAAAAAATAATAATCAAGTTCTCCAGTGCTAAATTCAGCCTTGCCAATATCTACAAAGAAAGAAGCAGCAGGCAATGTGGCTGTGTTGTTTTCTTCCACTGCTCACTCCTGGTGCATGGAGCACACAGAACCAAGTGAGGGAGACAGTCACAGCTGGGTCCCTAGGGCTGGCCAGGGTGATGCCAGCCCCAGCCCCACTAGGCACTGCGCTCAAAAATGGCGGTTGACTGACCTCAGCCACTTCTTCCCTCCCTCTCCCTCACTCCCTTTTATCCTTATTTCCTCCCTCCCTCTCTTCCTTCCTTCCTTCCTTCCTTCCTTCCTCCTTCCTTCCTTCTTTCCTTCCCTCCTTCCTTCTGGGAATCTTTCATGATAACACTACACCAGTGGCACTGTTCCTTCCTTCCTTTGTTCTGAAAGCCCTAATTTCCTCTGAATTGCCAAATGGTTTTAATCCCTTCATAGGCCTGCTAATGACATATATTACTTCCAAAAGTATATTTAATTGGTCCCTAGAATTCCCAAGTTGAGAGGATATGTTAGAACTATAGAACTGCTAGTGACCTGTAGACGGAATACTAACTTAGAGGCCAACAGTGTCCTTTCTGAAAGGTTCTCATAAATCATTTCCCCAGGAAATAATGAGTTCAGAGCACTTGCCTTAAATGTTTACTGTAAAAAGATTCAAGCAGGATAAGAACATGCAAAATGATTGTGTGGCTTGATACACTTTAAGTGAGACCGGCAGCCATATGAGGTTACAGCTTTCACATAATTCCCAGAAACCTTTTCAAATTCTGTTTCCAGACCTGAAAACCCAGCCACCCAGAAGCACATGTGCTGCTGTGTGGGAGCTGGGGGTGTCAGCTCCAGAAGGTGACTTGATGATCTGACTCACCTGCTGCTGATTCAGGCCTCAGTTCTGGCTGCCCACGTCTTCACAGCCTAAATTAAAACCTGGAAGGCTAAAAAAGCTGCAGATGCCTCCTTCCCTACCAGTCCTCTGTAGTGATGAACGGGCAAGCCTAATTTTAGCAAAGACTCTTGAGATGTGAGAAGCAGCAGGGACTTTGAGACCATCTCATCTGAGGTTCTCAGCATCCATGGATTATCCAAATGGCTCAAGGAAATAAAAAACTATCTCTCCAAAGACATGCCCAAGTTGGGCCAGGGTAGAGCAGGCTCCCTAGGCAATTTGCACGCGTGGCATGGCTGAGGGTCGCTGGTCTTACCTTACCCATGGTAGGGCCAAGGAGGCTGAAGCCTAAGGGGGAGAGTACACATCCAAGGTCACACTGGGACATAATGAGGACTTGGCTCTTCACAAGGGCTCTTCTGTTATTTCTGTAGCTGGTACCTCTTGAAATACCTAATGAAATGACTTTGGGGACTTAAAAAAATCATCACTAAGTATTTACCAAACACATGAATTATTCTATAAGAGGTGGAAGAGGGATAAATAATATTCTTCTCTGGCATCTGGGAGCCCACAGCCCAGCCAAAGAAGTATGCATGTATATAGATCTCTCTAACACCAGGCACTCGGAGGAGAAGTGGAGAGGGACAAGGAAGAACCCAGAAAGGCTCCCTGGTGAAGGGAGGGTTACTCCAAGTCTCCAAAGGGTAAGCTAGACTGGTTAAATGAAATTCAGGATGCCCAGTGGAATTTGAATTTTAGATAAACAACGAACAAGTTTTAATGTAATTATATCCCAAATATTGAACAGGGCATACTAATATTTTTAATTGTCTATCTGAAATTCCAGTTTCACTGGGTATGGATAGTCACCCACAGAAGGGATAGTACTGGCATAGGTAGAGAAGTCTCTGAGATTGGTGGTTTGGGTAGCCAGAGCAGGAGGGATGTGGGTGAAAGACACAAGGGGGGCCCAGGAAACCAGGCTCTGGGTTGGAACCTGGCCTTTGGAAGCCACTGTCCTCCCACCAGGACAGCCCTCAGCCCTATGTGTCCTGGACCGACACCCCTCCATAATGAGTTCTCTAAACTCAGCCAGAACTCAGACCACATCACTTCCTGCTCAGACCTTCAAAAGCTTCGCAGGTTATGCCTAGGAAAAGATAGCAAAACTCCTCATTTTATCCCAGGAGACTCTTTAGGATCTGACTGTGTCCTTGGAATACAACCTGAAGGATGGTTATGCTGATTAAAGCAGGTAGTGTTATGCAATAGTTCTCAGCCTCAGCTGCCCACTGAAACTCTCTGAGGAGTTTTAGAAAATACAGTTGCCTACGCCTCAACCGCAGAGACTTTAGATTAACTGGCTCAGGGCATGCTTACTCATGAGGAGTTTCAAAAGATGCCCAAGTGTTTCACTATGCAACCAAATTGATCTAATGCTTCTTTCTGGTATAGAGCATGGATTTTAGGAATAGGGGGTATTGTGACCAGCACTGTTATTACTATCACATATCCATCTCTTGTCTTCAGATATGACCAGCATTAAACTCCAACCTCACCCACCTGCCTCTGGGCCTCCCTTCCTGCCATGACTAGCTCACTTCTCTTGGCTAGTCACTCTTCTCTCTAAAGTACAGTACCTATTCTATAGGTACTCACTTAGCACCCTTCACCCCCAGAAGACTGCATAAGTAAAGCCCTTGTCTTTCTTGGTCTCCTCTGGCCCCCTTTCTCCCACACCCAGCACATACTGGAGACCCTCAGTGAATGATAGGGTGAAAAAATGGCTGAGCATGGGATGATGAGGCCATATTAGCATTTCCAGAAAGGTCTTTCTGTTTGCTCAGTGCTGAATTTGGGAAGGTAAAAGAAGAGATGGATGCTAGGACACTAGTAACTCCAAAGTTGTGATACCAATACTCATTGACTCATGATACAGTGGCTTCCCAATAACCCCACTATATGTTGAAAACATTGTAAATCCAAATTCATGTTATACCCTAGCCTTCTAAACATCATAGCTCAGGAATACAGTGTACTATAGAATATCCATTATTTGTCTTCATGATTGTGGGATTGACTGGGAACTGTGGCTCACTACCACTGTCCAGTGTCTCTAGAGTATTTTGCTGAAGACAGCCTGGGAAAAGATCAAACTTCCAAGTGTGGTTTCTACTGAATGAATATCACCTTCAACTTATCATAAAGTCAAAAATCATAAGTAGAATCATTGTAAGTCAGCAGGCCACTGTACAGCTGAAAGATGAGAGGACCTCAATCAGCACAGAGGCCATGTCATGGAAGATGGGCAATGTGAAGACCTACGGAGGCTGAGTGGCTTGGGAGAGGGCAGAGGGGCCAGGGCATGGGGCCCCTACTGAAAAAGATTGCTTCTATTGAGCCATGTTGGGCAGAACATGCCAGTGGGACCTCAGGGGTACCTGGGAACATGAGGTCAGCACCGAGAGAAGTCCAGAGTGGATGAGATCTCGTATTTGAAAGACTCATGCTTCTTGCCATTTCTGTGAGCAGAGTTCTTGGGATGTGGAAAGTGGGTTCCCAGAAGACATCTCTGTCTTCAAGAGCACAGTCATTCATTAGCCTTCTTTCATCCCTGCAGCTATTCTGGGCATGCACACACTCATGAGCAACCAGCAGTACTACCAGGCGTTGGGCAGCAGCTCCATCGTGAACAAGGAAGGACTCAACAGTGAGTACCAGGCCTGGCTTCTGCTAGGCCCCAGAGCTGGCTCACGGCGCTACCTTGGGAGGCTGGCTTGTCCTCCTGAAGCTCTTTTCCTCTGCTTGGTGATGCATCACTGGCTCACTGCAGAAGTTCCAAAATTTTATGTAATCAGATAGGTCCATTTTCCCCTTTGGGTCTCCTAGGATTTTGTCTTTTGCTTATCTTCTTCATCCCAGTATCACAATTTTGTATTTTCTTCTAAAGGTTTTAGAGGTTTATCTCATATATTCCATTTCTTAATCCACCTGGAGTCCATGTTTCTGTGCACTGTGGGATGAGAGTAAATTCCATGTTTTAAATAGTAGCAGTTATCCCACATCATTCTTTGCAAATTTAGCCTTTCACCACTGGTCTAGATCACCTCCTTGATCATCAGTTTTTGCCTTCCTCTTCTGTTCTACTGTTTCATAATTCCCATTACCTTTTTCTGGGCCAATACTACATTGTCTTTATGCCACTGGATTGTTGCAGGCTGCTATTTTAGCTCCAAAGAGAAACAAGCAGGTCCAAAGAGTAACTGTCATTCCTGTTGAAAGATGTATGCATTTCTTTCCCAACTGGGGTTCACCTTATCCTCACAAGAGCCCATTGAAATAGTGAGCACAGGTGGAATGAGTATCCTTACCTTATAGGCAAGAGCTGGATGCTCAGAGAGTTTGAGGAATTAAGGAAGTTCAAGTTTGCAGGAAGCCAAAGGCAGGTGCCAAAGAGGGCCAACCCTCCAGGCTCTCTTGATGGGCTTTCTTTGATGACTGAACCCTGGGTAGCCCCTACCAGATGCAATCTTCCTATGAACCTGAAATCTGCTTCTACTTCCTTTCAAGATGTTCTTGTATTTTGTTAATCACCCTAGGTGTGATTAAACCTACACAGTATAAGCCTGTGCCTGATGAGAAACCAAATTCAACAGATGTAGAGGAAACACTGGAGCGGATAAAGAACAATGATCCAGATCTTGAAGAAGTTAACCTCAATAATATCCGGGTAACGTCCCATGATTTCACTTCATCTATGTGTGTGAGGAGGGTGCATGTCCATGATCCAGGCTGTGCAGAGCAACAGGGTCCTGTTTGTACTCTGGATGTTTCTCAATCAGCAATAGATGGAAACTTTTACAAACCCCCAAGTATTTTGGGACAGGGTGCTGGACAATGTAAATAAGCACATCCCACAGTCCTGGTTTCTTTTGGAGGATGACTTCAGACCCAGATGTTCACCATGGCCAACCCAACTTTGATCTGGAAACCTGCCATGTTATTCAAAACACAAAGATTCTCTCTGAGATAACACTGTGAGTCAGACCCATGCTGCAGCACGGGATCTCAAGACAGAAGAGCCTAGTGCCCACCAGGCTTGTGTGGTCATCATACCCTGGGCAGGCCCTACCCTGAACCATCATGGCAGCTGCTGGACCATGTTCACTTTCAACCTCATTTTACAGCCATAGAAGGGAGCTGTTGGCCCAAATGTCCAAAGAAACATCAGAGCTGTCTGCCCACATCTCTGTGGCATCTCCCTGTGTGGATACCCAGGCAGAGGAGAGACTGGTACAGTCCATCCCCACCCCTAACCCCAGACGGGCTGCAGGAGGAATTCAGGGGCAAGAGCAGCTGCCTTCCCACCTGCTCAGCCCAAGGCCATGGGATTAGTTCTGGGAGGGTGGAGGGAAGTAAGACAAGACGCTAGCGCCTAGCTAGCCCCTCTCCTCTTTCCTTTCTTCTCCATTTTCTTTTCAGTGGCTGCCAGTCCCAAGGCACAATCAGATTGGAACCCTGTTTTCCAGTGTTCTCCTCCACCTGGCTCCCCACTCTACTCCCTCGGGAGCTTAAGTGACGCTCTGAAATGTGAGCTTGGCGAAAACACAGCCAGGCCCTCTCTCTGTGCCTCAGTTGTTTGCTGTGTGCCCAAGGGAAACGCTGGCACAATTCAGAATTGTGCATTCTGGCCATGAGGCAGCTGGGTCAGATTAGTAGTGTTCACTTGAAGAGAAGAAAGCACGGGACCAATGCCCAGTCCCACTCCAAAGACTGGTTACTATGTTGTCTGGGGCAGGCCAGAGCCCCAGCAGGGTACACGCATTTGCCAGGACCTGCTGATGTGTGGCCAGGGCAGAACCTCAGCCTTGATGTCTCTTAGTGTCTACTGAAACCCCCCCCCTCCTGTTTTCTGAGAACGAGTATAGAGAGCTACTGTGATACAGACACCCTACTAGTGGCTGAGATGGAGGCCAGTGTCCAGCCCCACCTTTAGCCCCAATCCTAAGCCTTTGGTACAACACTCTTCCTACCTCCACACCTTGATTTGTGCCTCTCCTTTGCCCTCCACCTGCATGGAAGACAGTTGTGGGTCCTGTTTAAAATTTCAGGTGTCATTTTCTATCTGTGCAATGTGAAGTTCTCACCATATCTTAGCCACTGGGGACAAAGCCGTCAGCATTTTGGCCAGAGACCTGCTAGGTGTCTGGGAGGGGCCAGGCTGCCCCCTCCCACCTCTGGCAGGTGCTGCTGGTCACTCTGCTCCTTTCTTTCTACAGAATATCCCCATCCCCACCCTTAAGGCATATGCAGAAGCCCTGAAAGAAAATTCGTATGTGAAGAAATTCAGCATCGTTGGCACCCGGAGCAATGACCCTGTGGCATTTGTATGTAATCTCTGCTCTGATATGTGGGCAGTGGGGGGCTAGACACGAACAGGTTAGGCATGTGGCCTCAGGAACAGCTGTGTCCACCATTGCAAAGCCCTGTGTGGTGTGACGACAGGACCAGGCTAGGAGCCAGGAGGGAATGTGAATCCACAGCCATCCCCCGGCACCACCTGTCCTCACCCAGCTAGTCCTCACTGCCACCCTCTGCAGAGGTGCAGGTCTCCCCACCAGGCAAGAAGAATTAGAGGTCAGAGAGATCAGGCAACCTGCTTGGTCCAAAGTTACAAAGCAAGTGAGAGGCAGACGTGGCATTCAAATGAAGTCACGTGTCCTGTACTGTCTAGTCACTCTACTCAGTGGCTCACCTTTGGAAAAAGCTGTTGGGCCTCAGTTTTTCCATCTCTAAAATCACTTCTTTATCAATGGATTCCAGGGACTAATTTTATATTTCATTCACCCATGTCCCAATAGACACTGATGATCAAATTACATTGTACTTATTGTTCAGTAACCATTAATTCTTCTTTAAAATATTCAGTGCACATCTATTGAGTGTCTCTGGCCCAGCAGGCCCTGAGAATCCAACCGTAGCCAAGTAGTCAGCTCCCATGTTCATGAACATGCTGGTCTTCTTGGCCATGTGGACACCTACAAAAATAGCATGGTGTAATTACTATGACGGTAGGAACAAAGGAAAAGTACAGGAATTAGCTTACCAGGGATGGTGACTAACCATTTAGAACCAATCAGAAAATTCTTTCCTGATTTTTAAAATAGGCAGGACAATTTTATTCAATATTTTTGAAGTGATAGAATTTTCTTCAGTATTTCTAAAATGAGGAATAGCTTTTGAAATCTCCCCTCACTGCTGGTGGGGAGCCTCTGGATGGATGACCCCTGACCTCTGTGGACCCCAACTGTGCCAACATGAGATTTTTGCCAGGCTGACAGCTGGTGTTAGCCCATTCATACCTGCATATGCAGTGCCAAATACTGAAATGCTTCTGGGCCAAACACAGTGCAGAGCTCTGAGTCCCCCCACTGCCTGCTCTATGCCCACCTGCTCTATGATCTGCTCTGCCAGGACTTAGCATGTGGCAGGAAATGACCTCTAGCATTTGCTCAGCCACCAGGCCCAAGTCTGGTACCCTGCCTACTGGTGGTTGGGTACTTGGATGGTTAGGCCAGGTCAGACCTTGCCTGGGGCCCAGGCAGCTCCTGTAGAGAGAGGACATAGACGGGGCCTCCCAGCGTCTCCTCAGAAGGCAGGCCTGGTTGTGAGGCATGCTGACATACCATCTCAGGGCACACTGCATGGGGAGCCCAGGAGTGGTGATAACTTTAGCATGGAAGGCCTCCAGGCATCTGGGCCTTCCCAGATAGCACACACAGGCAACACAATACAGCAGGCAGTGCTGGCTCAGAGAGGCACTCCAGACAACAGGGCCTACCTATCACCGTCCTGGGCCACTCAGCTGCTAGTATCTTCTTTCCCCATGACACATCATTTCCACCAACTGCTAATTACCTCATTTCCGTCAGAGGCTCTGATTGCCATCTATACTCCCTGGCTGAATCCCTCTGAAACATGCTGAGGGCCATCTGAGCTCTCTTCTTCCAGCTGGCTCTGGTCATTTGCTGGCCCAGTGGAGAGGTTTCGCAGCACCCCCTCTGCCCTCTGGTGCTCATATGTAGAAAACAGAGAGCCTGGCACTTGAATAGGACAACAGAAGAGATAAGTCCAGCACACACAGAGGAGTTGAGACTCTGATGGTCATTCAGTGACCATTGTCTGAGGATCAACTGTGTCCTGGGCACTGTGTGGGCCCTGTGGCAACATGGGATATTAAAGTGACATTTCAGCCACTGTAGAAAATAGTCTACGGGAAAGAGCCATATGCATAAAAGCAACTGTGCCCAGGTGTGCTAGCACACACCTGTAATCTTGAGGTAGGATGATCACAAGTTCAAGGCCAGCCTGGGCAACTTAGATCTTGTCTCAAAATTAAAAATGAAAAGGGCTGAGATACAGCTCAGTGGCTCAGAGGCCCTAGTTTTGACTCCCCAAAATAAAAACAAACCAGAACCAAGGAATGTGAGTTTCCAAGGCACTTGTAGATAAATTCTGTGAGGTCCAAGAGCAGCCTCAGCCAGCTGAGGGTGTCATCAAAAGCTCCTGCAGAAGGGGATATTGAGAATGACACTGCGGGGTGGGCAGGTTTTGAAAGTGAGCACACAGGGTATTACAGATGGCAAGGCTGAGTGGGCGAAGGCAAAGTGGGAGAGAACAGGGCATGATCAGGAACCACGAGCAGCCTCACTGACAGAGCTCAGAGAACACTGGCAGAGTCAGTGGATACGGGTGACGGCAGCTTAGACTTCTCCAGAGCAAGTGTTCTGGAACCAAAGTAGGTTGGAGGGGAGGAGAGACACAGACTCATTCTTGTGAAGGAAGTTCTGGAGATCGTCTTGCCTCTTCCTGCTGGCGTTTGTGGACCTACCCAGGAGGGCTCACAGGCATCCCCACTTTTCTTCTCTGGTTAAGGCCCTTGCTGAAATGCTCAAAGTGAACAAGGTGTTGAAGACACTGAATGTGGAATCCAACTTCATTTCCGGCGCTGGGATCCTGCGCCTGGTGGAAGCCCTTCCACACAACACATCTCTGGTGGAACTGAAAATTGATAACCAGGTAAGATGGGGGGGGTGTCCTCCTGTCCACCACCATGCACTACACACCATCCTGCCCTTTCCCATCCACTACTGGACAGAGCGGACCACACTGGTTTTAGACATTCCAGAGCCCAGCTGTAAGGGACAGTTGAGGTCATCCAGGTCACACCCTTCACCCCTCAGCCTTCTTTCTTTCTTTCTTTCTTTCTTTCTTTCTTTCTTTCTTTTTTTTTTTTTGCTGTACCAGGGATTGAACTCAGGACCCTGCGCTTGCCAGGCAGGCACTTATTCTACTGAGCTATCATCTCCCCACCCCCTTCTTTCCTTCTCATTCCCACTGCCAGCTTCTCCTTGTGCTCCCTATTGATAGGGAGCTTACTCCTTATTGACACCACTGCTTCACTCTCAAGCTTTGAGAATATCAAAGACCCACTGTAAATTACCCTTTGTAATTCCTGCTTGTTTGTCTTAGTTCTGTTTTCTGAGCATCTCATAAACCCCTAGATTCTTCTTCTTCCCTGGGCCAACTGTCCCCATTCTCTTCAGCTACCTTCACTGGATGGAGCTTTAGAATCTCCTTCCTCTTGAGGTTATTCCAGTCAAACTCCAGTTTGCCTTTATCTGTTACTGTCTGCCTCGGATTACTATAGTTCGTTCATTTATCTTTGGGCAGTTCTTTCAGCCTGGACTTTCTAAGAGGATGTAAATCACAATAGTAGTCTGTGATGGTGACCTGTGTGTTACATGCTGAAGAGTATACTGTGGGCCAGCCCTGTGCTATACACCTTGAAGCCCTCGTTTTTGATCTTCACAACAGCACTGCGATACACAGGTTTGATCAGTCTCTGTGTGGGGAGACAGCTACCCATAGAGGCTGAGATAGGCAACTTTCTCAGGGTCACTGATTTAGCACTTGTGCAGGATTTAACACTAGGTCACTTGAACTCCAAAACATTCCTTTCACTACCACATGTTGCTTGCAATATTAAAATGCCTTCTTCTATCTGGATCAGGTACCCAGGATGTTTTCCCTATGTGAAACTTTTGTTTGTATAGTTGTATAAATATATAAAAAAGACTGGAAGGAAATACACAATTATAAACAGTAGTCACACCTGAGTGAGATTATCAGTGCTTTTATATCTCTTTATTGTAAAACACGGCAACTTGGATAGATGAGTGCATAAGCCAGAAACATGTAGTTTAACAAATCACAGCAGGCATGTGAACCACATGCAGTTCAAGAACTAAGCCTTGCCAGCCTCCAGAAGGCTTTGACTTCCTTCTGCCAAAATGACCCTTTTGAAACTCTCCACAACTTTCCCCCATGTCCTCCCTGTCCCCATCCTCCTCCCTGCTTGGAGAAAGCCCCTTTTCCTCTGGGTTCAATGGAAGCCTCCTTTTCCAAGTGGGGCCCTGGAGTACCTGGAACCAGCCTGCAATGGCAGATGCACCCCATCTCCATCAGCATGCAGGGATGGCACATGGGGTGTTTGCCACTTGAAACCATTCGGGGGGGGCAGATTATCTGCACTATGAAACTGGACAACACTATATAGTAGGCTTTGAGGGAGGTGTGACGCCATGGACCACTGCCTACTCCTGTCACCTACACAGCTCCTCTGTCCTCTGCCGTAGGAGAGTTAGGTGCGCCCTTCCCTGTATTCCCATAGCACCTCAGCTTCCTGGTGCTACGTCTGAGTTATCCCCATCTCCCAGTGTCCAGCTCAGGACCTAGCCTACAGGGCTGCTTTGTAAGCAAGGTTGCCTCTGGGTTGTACATATTGTTCATTGCACAATGAGGTGGCAGAGGAAAATGCAGTGCACAATTTACTTTGCACATGATGTGCCTCATTGCAGGTCTTTGTTCACCCTGAGAGGACATGTTTTCCTAGCTCCTATTAAGAGGCTGCATGAGCCAGCAACATCTGGGTAGTAGGAACTTCTGCACTGAGCCCCTTGCATCTCCTGCCTGCCAGTGGCCTTGGTTCTGCTTCACCATTCCCAGCCGCTCCCCACCCCTGGCCTGCTACCCCTCCCCTGGTCATTGCTGACTCTGCTCTACTGCATGCAGCAGAGCAGATGGAACAAAGGCATGCAGAAGGCTTGGCAGCAGCCCTGCACCAAGCCTGGGCTCGGTGGCTCACGTGACTCCAGGGTTTGGCCTTGCAGGAGTTAGGGTCTACCCAGAGTCAGCTGAAACCTGACTCCCAGGGCAGAGGGTAGCCCAAGAGGACATGAGCCCTCCCCTTGGGTCACTGGGGTGGCAGCTGACACTGAGCTGCCCGCCTTGCCTCTTGCTGCTGTCCCTCCAGAGCCCACAACAGAGCTAATGCTGATCTTCTCCAGGCTGAACAGCTGGTGCAAGAACACTCATTTCAACGTGGCTCGGTTTCCCAGCTTGTCAAATGAGGACAATAAGATTCTACTTCTAAGGAGACAATAGATGTACACTCCGAGATGGTGACTTTTGGTTCACTCCACTGGTAGTAGAGGAAGTTCTTACTCTAAGGATTAGATACTGAGCAGGAGCTGCGAGCCAGGAACCATACTGGGTGCTGTGTGTCCACTGTCTCATCCCACATTCACCAAGACTCTATGAGTGGGCAGATGAGGAAACTGCGCCAAGTGGGCTATGTGACCCACCCAAGAGCCCATGGTTAGTAAGCAACACAGGAAGATTCAAACCCAGGTCAGTGGGAGTCTGAAGTCCATGCACAGTGCCTGAGTTTCTGAAACAATTGTTGCTTTGTGTGGCCAGGCGTGGCTTTTCTCATCTGTCCCTTTTGCCTGGTGGTGCAGGGCAGGGTGGGTGCTCTAGTTCTGCCCTCTAGGTATCCCATTCTGGCTGAGAGACAAGTCCAATTCAGAGAGGAGCATCATACCAGGTACTCCAGCAAGCCACAGACCTCGGGTGTGAGGTCTGCAGCACCCTCAGTCAGGAGCATGGATCAAGGAGGGCTTCTTGGAGGAGGCAAAGTTGGAGGTAACTCTCTGGGTGAAAAAGATCTCAGAAAGTAAAATGGAAACCATGGTATCCTGGGCGCAGGGAACAAAGAGAAAGGGACAGAGCCACAGAGCCCACCTAAGCAAGACTCCTGGCACCCTCCAGGGATTTCTTACCAGAGGAAATCCGGACAGTGGCCAGGAGCACAAGGAGCTCTGAGTGGGCAGGTTGAGGGAAAGTAGCCGTGGGCTGTGCTCTGGGTCCCTGGCTTTCTGGGAGAGGCCCACAGTGGGAAGGAAACCCCTGGGCCTAGGAGACCAGTGTGGCACTGTGGTCACCAGGTGAGGTGGACACATGGGGAGTGCTCCTGCTTTGCTGCAGTTTTCATCAGATTGGAGTTGGACCTGCGGTGGGGAGGGCGGAGGAACAAATTGGTCTCAATGAGGAACCCAGCTGACCTGGCCCAGAAGAAGGCCACCATGCCTTTTGCAGTATGTCTCAGGAGGCCTGGGCAGAGCTGCTTCCCTTTGGTGCCCCAGCCCTAGGCCAGGGTGAGGGAGGAGTAGGACCGAGGAGGTGATGAGTGGCTTTTGATTTATTCCTCAGGGTTGGTTAGTCACTGAGGCCTTTGGAGGCCAGAGCTTTCCCCTCAGTCCTTGTGCTTGTAACCTGTGTCAGGGAGACTCTGTCTCCCTTTCTCCTTATACGGCCAAAGAAAGGGACTTGGGGAGTTCTACCCTGGGTGCCCCGGAGCCTGGCAGGCTGGCTTGGCCACAGGCTGGGATTCGGGAACTGGGATTCTGAGGCTGTTTGTTTACTCTGCCCGCCTCTTTATCTCCAAGCAGTGTTCTGTTGCCCCTGAAGTTGCTCTGACACCCAGTGGGGGTAGGAAGACTGAGGGGGCCCTGTGTGGGGACCGTAGGGCACTGAGGAAATGTCTGGCCCAGCCTCCTTTTACAGGTGGAGAAACTGAGGACCAGAGAAAGGATGGGGCTTGCCTGTGGAAACAGGTCAGGTTGGTGGCAGAGCTCGGTTGGGACTTCAATCCTGGCTGTAGTTATGGGTGGAAAGAAGAGGTCTGTAGTCCTCAGGAGCAGACTTCAAAAGTGGGGTGTCTGTGAGCCCCACTGAACCTATACTATAGTCAAAGAGGTCTCTCCTGGCTTCATTTGCCCTCCCAACTCCCAACCCAGCTGCCCTCCTAAACCCCTTGTCCCTCAAACTGGCAAGGAAGGCCTACAAATGTGGCCCCTAGCCCCACCTAGGAATGTATAACGCCTGTAGGCTATTGTCCCGATTTCCCACTTGTCCTCCCAATATCTGCCAATGGCTGTGCTTCCTGCTTTGAAGAGAAGCTAAAACAAGTATATCACATTTCTTATTTATCCAGATTGTATGATTTGTGTTTTTTTTTAATCCCAATTGTGCATGAATGTATCTGCTATCTATAGCTGTGTAACAAATTATTCCAAAATATAGTGACAGAGTCTCAGAGCCCTATAAAACAAGGATACACAACTATTTGCTCAATGTTTCTGAGGATCAGGGGTATTTTGACTGGCTAAGGGAGGAGTATCAGAGAACTCTGGAGACAATTTTACATCACCATAGTAAGAACCACCACAATGTGGCCAGAAAGCCCTTTCTAGCCAGCAGAGCTACCCAGGGACAGAACAGGTGCCTCGGGGCCAGCAGCTCCCCTGGAGGTGTCTAAGCAGACACAGTTCAGCAGCTCAGAGATGGGAGAAGTTTAATACCAGCTAGTACTCAGGGCTTTCGTGTTAGACTAGATAATTCCCAGAGCTCTTCTCTGTTATATTTCCAAGTATTCCCCTTATTTCTTCCTAGTTCATCACAAAGAAATGGGCAAAATTGGCTCAGTCACTGTACAAAGTGAGCTTCTGGGTGTCCATGGCTTCTCTTGTCTAGAGAGGAGTCTCAAAGCCACCGGCTGATAGCCAGCAGTGAGGTGGAGGTGGGAGAACACACACAGTGCTGAAAGGCGTGTCTGCCACCTTCCACAGACTTTTGGTGGGGTGTTATTCACAATATTAATTCAAAATGGGTCTGTA